GGTGTGGTGTTCTAGTTACAGTGGTGACACCCGTCATCACCAAGTCTTGTCTGCATTGTACTACCTATGTATTACTGTTGTTATTACTGTCCAGTTAACTCAGCCAATTAAAAAGTGGATGTATTGCTGGCTTTGTTCTACATTGTGTCCTGAAAGGAAATATCTTTACTAGTGGGTTGTATTATTTATTTACAGGGAGACAGCGGTGGACCTTTGGCGTGCTATCACCCCCCTACCAACAGATACTACCTCATGGGCATTGCTAGCTTTGGAGTTGGCTGTGGCCGACCACAATTTCCTGGGATCTATGTCCGTTTATCTCAATACAGAAGATGGATAAAATCTGAGCTTCAGCTGAATAACAAGGCTGTGAACCCCATAAGTGTTACACTCCCCGTCCTGAGCGTGGTACCCACAGTTCTTGTGTGGAGTCTCTAAAGAGACAAACCATCATGGTATCACTGCAGAGGTTTGGTCCGCCTGGTAAACCTTTGAGAAGAGAGCCAGCCCGTTTCAGAATAAACCTGAGAGCCAAAGGACAGATACTGATGTTTTCAAGTCATGTTTGCACTTGTATTATTGGGTTTTTTCTGCCTCTGATGTCCATACTAACAGTAGAGGGAACAATAACAGCCTTAACCGTGATAATGAAATTGAATAGAGAAATGTTACCGACTGATAATACTTTTTTTCTTACCCTTTTCCTATGCTTTTCTAGCTAAAAACCCGTAAGTATTAGTGGTTACTACCACGAATTTTGTAGATGGCAGATACCCCCTCTGCTGGGTGAATGCTGCCAGAGCAGAACTGTGTTTAATGGTGGCTCAGCTGAAAACTGAGCAGGGGGAAAAAAAAACCTGCAGGAAGATAAAAGGTTTCTCCACTAATTATTTTTGGCCATTACTAAGATTTATGCACCAGTAACTTAGGATTCTGACTGCTGAATGACACATCTCTGGGTGCTGTTCCACAGACTAAATATTCTTGGCCCCTGAAAGACCTGATGCCACCCCATGCATGCACACTTGCTTAGAACCACTGCAGTGCTGTGCTCATGCAAAAATCAATCAGGAACATCAGGATTAAATTTTGGCGACTTTATTTACCAAGGTCAAAATTTGCAACCATCTAATTGTTTCAACAAGTATTTACACTTCATATAAAGCATGTAATGTACTTCTGTTTGGAAATAACCAGCAGAACAGTAGTAGGTACTATATCTCTTACTCTCAGGATACAGATTTTACTCTCTTACAATCTAGATTGTGAAGTAAATCCAACGTAAGTACTTTGTGGTAAGTGATGACTCAAAGAGCAAACTCATGTTACTGTTTAATATTTCCATGATGAAAAATAAGCTGCTCTTTCCAAAACACTTATTTTAAGAGGATAGAAATGTACTAACATGATGTCTGGCAGCACGACATGTTTTACTTGCTGAATACAGAAAGAATGGGCCACCATTTTGTTACAGCCTTAACACTTGATAGCTTTTTTTTAAAATTATTATTGTTATTCTGTATTACAAAAGAAGGTACAACAGCACACAGTGAGGATCACAACCCACGCAGAAGAGTTCCCAAATTAGTTGCAGTACTGTAGGTCAAACCCTCTTCAACATACGCCAAGTAGCGCACACAGACCTGATGGGGGACAGAGCGAGAAGGTCCAATTCCCAGCGGTGCCAAGCACTGTTCATGGCTTCTTTCTTACTGAAATCCCACTAAGAGAACCAGGAGGCACCAAACATCTCCTTTGGAGCAGTTCCCTACAAACATCTCCACCCTGCTCACTATTTCTGATGTGCAATGAAAGCACTCTCTTTCGACATGATCGCGAACAGAAATGGATTCTCCAGTTTGGCCTAAAAGAAACGTCCGTAACAATCCTATGGTTACAAACTTCAGAGGAAAAGGTATTTTTATAGCTCACTAACACCATGGTTGTGGAATGCTGTCTTCCTCATACCACTTGCAAAGAGCTCTGCTTGCTAAGAAGTCCATTAATTCAAAGATGAGTAAAAGAAAACATACTGACTGACCGTATGAGAAGCAGTACACAGCTGGGGAGTGAGTAGACCTCTTGATTTCATTCAGCTTGGAGCTAGCACAACACACACACGGAGCTCTAACACCTTTTTAATAGCATAGTCCATAGTGCAATTCCCACTGACATAACTGGAAGCAGGATTCAATCCTAACTATGGAAAATAGTGTAGTTATTATTCATGCAATAAGCACTGCATACACATGTTTCTATTTCACAGGATCACAGGAGGGTGGAGGTGGGAGAGCACCTCGGGAGGTCACTGCCTCCCACCCCCTGCGCGAGCCGGCAGCCCAGGACCTCGTCCAGGCAGCTTTTGGGTATCTCCAAGACTGGAGATTCCCCACCCAAAAGAGTCCTGATCATGTCAAACATTTAACTGCCACCTGAAACAGATTAAAATCAGACAAACTAGAATCTCTGATAGCGACCAGATCGGATGTGCAGATATCAGCAACTGTGGGGAATACAAGCCCTGATCTCTTTTTTTTTCTCCTGTCTTTTTTTCCCAAGATTCTCTAGGATCCCTTTTTTTTTTATTATTTTTTTTTGCAAGTTGCCTACAGACATACAAAATTAATTCAAATATCTCCTACACCAAAGAGGATCTCATTTGATTTCATACTATCCATAAAAATATATGCTTGAAAATCTGCTTCTTCACAAAATATTTCATTTGTTTACTAAAATGAAATATAGAAACTGTCAAAATACGTATATAAACTCAATTTCAGAATTTGTAAAGATCATAATTTAGCTACAAAATATACCAACCATCTACCTGTTTTCAATAGAGTATTTGCTTACAAAGATACCATTACTTTGCAAAATATCACCTACCTTACAAAATCAGTCCGGAAATGTTGCACTACTTTCAGCATATAAACCATATATTAGAACCTCAGTAACCCTTTGGTATATATCTTCCATTTTGTGTTTTAGCATTCTTCTTCTATTTGGTTTCAATGTTCCAAAGCACAGCAGAGCCTCCAGACAGAATAAGCAATGCATGTTTTGTTGTATTTACAGGCAGCACATGGTTTGTTTCTCAATTCTAGATCTTTCTCATGCCCAGCAACTAAGCCTGTTGTGAAATCGTTCTTCAGAAGCTTTTCTTCACCAGTACTCGTTCTACCACACTGTACTAGAAAATAACTGGACGTGTTGAATTCTGTTAAGGAAAGCCAACACCTTAGTTCATGTGCCTCAGACATTGTAAGGACTCGGCCTCTCACCGCCTTCTGCAGATCCTTCCCAAATTTGATAAACACAGCAAACGTCGAAAAGAAAACCCCCCAACTTTTTAAACTGTCAGCTGAGAAAGAGTAAACAATTTATACCTCTAGCAAAGTATGAGCTTCTTTTTAGCGTCTGCACCTGTAAAGAACAACTTACAGGTTAAACCAAAAATATTTACATACAAATAACTGAAAGGAAAAGTAAGAATTGGAAAAAAAAAAAAGAGTAAGAAATCAAAACATATACTGGTTACAAATGTTACTACTAATGTCAACTATGGCAAGGATTCCACATCATCCACGTTTTAACTGTAACCAAATATTGCCTCCGTTACAAGAGGTATGTGAGGAAATTCTCATCACCTGCCTTGTAAAACGTGCCTGTCCTTTACTGTTGATGCAATCTTGACTTTAGAAAGTTTCCAGTTGTGCAGGAATTTTGGTGAGGTTTTCTTGTTTCCTTTTTTGTACTTTGTCACCAACATGTTGTAAATAAAATCTATAGAGTCTTTAAGTTGTGAAATCTAGGTAGAAAAGTTTCATTTTTTGACCTTTCATCTAGTTTAAAAAATTCAGTATAAAAAAAAAAATTCTCCTCTGAAATTTAAACAGTCCAAAGTTTTACCTTCTTTTCTTACACACTTTTATGACAGTAAAGATCTTTCAAAGTTTTTAACTCTTCAATTAGAGTTTTGTTCTGGTTTTCCAGGACTGCAACTCGATTTTCCAGGCATTTAACATACTCTTTCTTCTTTCTACGGCATTCTCGAGCAGCTTCTCTGGAACACACAAGCAGAAGGAATTGCTGATTTTATATGTGAGATGTTTCTACTTTCCACATGTTACGATTCTGACCACTATGAGAGGAGGGAGCTGGCAGTGCCCTCGTGAACAGCATGAGCTGAAAAGCGCATGATGACAGGTAGAGAGCTTGAAACTGGTACCACACGTGGCAGCCAATCTGCGGGGAAAACCCAATTTGTTTTCTCCAAGCTGTGTAAGACAGAACACATGGCACGTTTTGGTCTGAATTTCCTACTTTTCAGTGGAAATTGCACTTTTTCCCAGTTTTCAGTGATGGCACCATCAGTAACGTTAGTTTGCCAGACACCCAGTTTGCCCTTTGAAGATGCATTTCAGCACATTAACTAACAAACCACAGCAGCCCATGTGCAATTTCATACCTGTTCTTCATCAGCCGTATCTCTCGTTTCAACTGTGGATCATCCGTCTTACTTGTCTGTGATGTCAGGGTGACAGGAGATGTCATCACCACAGTCTGGGGAAGGGAGGTGGTGGTTGGGGTGGTGCGGATCTGGTAGGTCTGCATGTCTCCTGAGGCAGCTGTTGGGATAACAAACAAGACATCACAACGTGGCAGTGTCAGAGTGGCGTTAGTGCTCGCTACGTCACACTGCTCCCAGAAGCTGTACTCACTCTGCACTACCACCTGGTTGCTGGGTACAAGGATCTGTTGACCATCTGATGTCTGTGCATACTGCAGGATCGTCGTTCCAGGCTGAGCACCACCAGCATTGGCCATTGTCAGTGTCTGAAGACCCTGCACACCATCAGCGCCTGGGCTGGCCAGCTGCAAGCCATTGGCAGCAATGGCAACTTAAAAGGAAAAGGAACATGCTCAACAATCTGTGTACAGGGTGAAATACAGGCAAAGGCAGGACAGCCTGGAGAAGAGAAGGCTCAGAGGAGACCTTCTAACAGTCAAGGGGGCCTACACGAAAGCTGGAGAGGGACTTTTTACAAGGACATGTAGCAACAGGACAAGGGGGAATTGGCTTTAAACTGACAGAGAGGAGACTGAGATGAGCTCTGAGGCAGAAGTTCTTCCCTGTGAGGGTGCTGAGGCGCTGGCACAGGGTGCCCAGGGAAGCTGTGGCTGCCCCATCCCTGGCAGTGTTCAAGGCCAGGTTGGACACAGGGGCTTGGGTGGAACCAGGAGTCTGTGAGAACCTTGCCCTAGGGGAAGGTGCCCCTGCCTGTGGCAGGGTGATGGAACTGGATGAGCATCCAGCTCAGAGAGCAGGTATGGAGAGGAGGTGCTCCAGTTGCAGAGCAGGCTGCTGCTTGGTGATAAAATCAAAGTAACATGTTGCTACCTCACTGATAGCACAGGAACAGCGTCTGGCGGGGCCTTATGACATATATAATGGTATCTTCACTTATCTTAGGTTTTGGACTAAATCTAACACTAGAACACTGCCATTTATTTCGTAACAACATCCTCCGAGTGTCTTAATGTGCAGAAATTAAGATAACGAAGCACTGAGTTTATCTGGAGCCTTCAGATACCAGTCTGTTTCCATTAACAGTACTGACCTTACTGACAGATAAATAACCAAACCTTTTGAGTTTCATCTTACTCAAATATATAACAAAAAGAGACTCTGTATTTTGAAGCAAGCTGAATAAAATGTGTCCAGTTAGGCACATATTTTGGGTAACTTACTGTACTGTCCAGTGCTTGTCTGGTAGATGGGTGTGGGAACGGACATAGATGTAACAGTAGAGACACCAGGACTCTCCTCATCTCCTTTTCTGTCACGTGTATCTTCAGAAGAAAGATCTTTCAAAATTTTCCTATTAAAGAGAAGAGTTTGTCAGTTCTAAAACTAGGAAAAAGTACTGCACAGTTACAAACCTGCACCATTTACAGCAGATTTCAGTCATCTCCAGAAAGCTGGGTGCCAAAAAGCAGCACTTGCAGCTGCATCATGGCACTGGAGGAAAAGTTGCATCAGAGTTTCCACCATAAACCTTTTCCAGGGACATATAATTGCCCTATTGAGAGATTTCTTTCTGATTTACAACTTGATCTTTAATTCTTTCAATAGGTTCTGTGTATCTAACTAAATCCAGTTTGCTCTGTCTAGTGTCAGAATAAACTAAAAAGGGTAGATTACTATAGAGGAGTTTAAAAACTTGATCTTCTGCTCTTCACACACTAACTTTACTTTTTCCTGCATTTAATGTAGCTCTTCTTGCACAGCTTCCCACACAGTGCATGTCCTATGTAACAAGTCCCTATGAAAACAGACACATCTCTCTTTAAAAAAGCCACCAAGGGAAGAGTGAATTTTATGTGTCTTACCCCAGGCCAAATAATGATTTAGTGGCAGCTACATGAAGAGAGAAGCACTGAAGAAGAACTGAGAACTCCTGATCCCAAACCTGCAGGGCTAAACAGCTCTCCCTCAGAAGCTCTGCTTACAGCTCCTGTTTTCCTATCGGGAGGATTCAGAATTGCTCCCTTCCCCACCATTTTTGACTGCATGCAAAATAATCAAATCCCTCTGAAATTATCATAGTTCAACAGGAGATTAAACCATCAGAAAGTACTAAGAAGAGCAAATAAAACATTCAACAACTGAAAAGCAGTGGCAGAAGCAGGATTGGTAATCGCAGACAGGAGCATCAGGTGGGTTCATACAGTGTCTTTTAAGACTTTCAGACATTTATTGTAAGACACATTAAGCTTTGTGTTAAGTTTCTGCCAAATTTACTATTTGCCAAGCTAGGACGTGGCATCTGACTACAGCCTGATTCAGTGAAATGATACAAGAGAGTAAAATTACAGCTGATGAACAATTTTCCCTAC